CCGTAGTCATCGCAGACGACCACTGGGACGTCACGCACGACCTGATTTTGCTTCGGACCATCGCACTGGCGTGCCCAAGCCACCCCCCGCCGTCAAGGCCATGCCGGCGTGTCGACCTTCTGGCCTATCATATGGTCGTTGAATCGCGAACAGTGGCAAAAGGTTCGTGACACCCGGATTCGCTACATTGCATGCCTTCATCAGCCGCTTGTGTTGACTTGCAGCCATTCTTGCTTGCGTTGCCATCGCCGTGTTTCACTTGTTTCTGTCCGCAGAATTTGTGAACAACCTGGTGGCTGTGCTCAACGTCCTTGCCTCTCAAGTGGCCACTGCTCTCGACACCCTTAACTTTGCCCTGGCGACAGACCGGAATCAGGAGCCAAATCCCCGGATAGCTCCCAGACCACCACGCAACTCGAGGCATGGACTACGCCCACGCATCATTATGGAGCGGGTTTCTTCGGATCGGTCTCGCACCCCCACCCGCACTCGGACACGGCCAGTTGACACTTCTTCTACATGGTACATACCCGCACTGTCCCCTCCGCGTGACATTCCGAGCGGCATGCCTGGTCAACGCCCTGAGAACCTAGCGGACCGACTGCCACCACCACGTACACTTGCTCCCAACGACTGTGCACCGGAACGCGCTTCGTCTACTACGCCTGATTCAGATTCGGACGGTTCAATCCGTCCACATCCTGGTGCTTCATCGTTCCGTCCATCGCCGGCGGTGGTCCATGGGCCTCGTGAACTTCTACAAGAATTCACCATCGCTCTCCGCAATGCATATCATGAACCATTCACAGCGTGGACACAAGGTGAGCTGGATGAGATGGTGAGACGCAAAAAGGACAAGGATTCCAGGCCCACCTACAAGACCATCGCCCGTTTCCTTCAGAAATCCACAGAGGAAGTCAATCAGGCGTGGAAGGTTTTCCAGCGACTTGAGGCCCGCGGTTAGGTGATTCAGCAATATTGGAGCCGACAAAATTCCTTTTGAGTGGTGCATTGCGTTGACCTTGCAGTTGTCATGCCTTGACCTTCGGACTTGAGTGTTCAAACCATGTTGGAACAAAATGTTCAGACATTCATAACTTGGACCCATGGCGCGCAGCCCACGTGGTTACAATATCACGGACCCAACCATTCGCCCGGCACAGTTGTTGACAGAACCGTTCGATTGACGATACCACCGCCACCACCACCGCTGTTACCACTTCCTCCTCCTCCTCCTCCTCCTCCACCACCACCACCACCGCCACCGATGACTATCCGGCCGCAATCCACGCCTTCACCGCGCCCTTCCTCTTCGCCGTCGCCTCGAGGACGGTCGTGTCCGGCAACTATGGTATCTGATCGCACAGTTAGTCGATCCGGCCGATCCCATCAAGGTGATCTTCGCAGTCTCACGCGTACCCCGAAGCGCACTCGAACAAGCAGGTATTCTCGGCGGCCCTTCACAGTGTTCACTCCGGGGAGAGCTACTCGGGCAACAAGGTCCAGAGCTACAACGTGCAAGCATTACTGCCATGCCTTCCTACATCATGGACGGAAGTGTCTTTCTCCCTGTGCACGACGTCAACCAGGGCATTTCCATTGCAGATGCGCTCGGCATCAGCGACGGTGACTCGTTGCTATTTCTGTTTGGAAAAGTTGGTTGCATGGCATCGCTTGCTGATGAAACATCACATCCATGTCTTCATGTCTTTCTTGTCTCGCCGCAGATTTCTTGGCTTCATGTGCCTTGTAATAATCACTTGTGATTCATTCGGCGGTCATGTGGCCGCACTACTTCGAGTACCACATTGTGCGCGGCCAGGAGTGGATCCGGGTGTATACCCCAGGCGCTTGGCACCCTGCGGCTGTGGACGACTCGGGCCCGGCTCTAGATAGTGAATCCACGTATCGGGAGTGGCGCAGGGTTTATCACTTTGACGTGCGCTACCCCATTCCCCGCCGTGACAGCACTGGAGGCACTATTGCCGACCTGGATGTTGTGCCAGTTTCCTACGTGTTTTATTATGTGTGGGAGTTCCGGGACTGGAACACGCAGGGGTATCAGCGCCTAGGAATTCCACGACCGTCCATTGGAGCGACCACCTTCTTGGACGACGAGATCTCAGCTTCATCAGATTCTTCTGTTCCTGATGGCGCGTGGCGGGAACCTTCGCCACCGCCGAGCTATGATCCCAACTTTGACTGGGAACAGTCCGACTGATGTGTGATCTGCTTGATGAGTAAAAGATTGCGCTGGTTGAGTCAGGTTGATTGATTGCCTTGCCACGGCCTTCACTGTGATTGCTTTCATGACATTGAGGCCGTGAAACTTGAGGGGACTTCGAGCCTTCTGAGGACAAACATTGTTTGTTATGCTCGCTGCTTGACTCATTGACCTTGGTTTGTCTTGGCTTGCGCTGTCTGTTCTCCGCATTTGTGGCTTCGTTGATGCCTTTCGTCTCAGAGCGACCCATTTGGTTAGCATGTTCAATTCAACAGTATTCGGCACTGGCAGATGGGACCGACCACGTTATTTTGCGTATGACCTCGTGATGGCCCATGCCGATGCCCAAGTTGAATGGATTCGAGTCTACGTGCCCGGTCCGTGGCAACCTGTTGCTGACTTCACCTGGGAGGCGGATCCAGATGACATTTCAATCCATCGGGAATGGCGCAAGTTCTACCACTTCGAAGTGCATTATCCTGTTGACAACCCCCCCGGCATCACACTGGAATCCGGTTCGCAACCAGTCACCTATGACACCTTTTACACATGGTATGATCGGGACTGGCACGCCAGAGGGTATCAACGGCTCGGGCGTCCTCACCCGAACATTGCGCGCCCATCCTTCCCTTCGGCATCACCGGACCTCATGTACGCGGGTTTGTCCTCATCGCCGGCTTCATCGTGCACCGACGATGTCTGACGTATGTCATCGGTTTCCCATGATCTTTTATCGGATGAGGGCGAGTGACCTTGACACCAGTGTCGCGTAAAGTGTCTTACATTTCTTGCTTGATTGTTGTGGCATGTCATGCAGTTCTTGCTGTCTGCAGCCGTATAACCCTCGGTTTGCTTCTCACTCTTCGGTGGTCATGCCGTGGCTGGAGTGCTGCCCCGATCCTCAACAGCCTGGCCATCAATGGATTAAGATCTTTCATCCGGGATCATGGACACCGCAAGATGAGCGTGATGATCCGCCTCCGCACCATACATACAGGGAATGGAAAGAGTTCATTGCTCCAAACCCGACCCAGGACCAAGATCAGCCCATTAGGCGCCATTGGTACAAGAGGGACTGGACCACTGAAGGCTACAGGCGTGTTGCTGCTCCTGAACCAGCTCAAGACTTCAATTCGTTGATTCCTCCTCAACATACCGTGGCCACGCAATCTTCAGCTTTGACTATGACGCCGCAGATGTTGAATGTGATTCTTCAATCTTCGGAAGCTTCGTCATTCTCTTTTGAGGATCTTACTCGTCTTCATGAAGGGATCGGTCAGCAACTGTCGAAGCGCGCGCGTCTTGAGTCCCATCATCCTGCACCGGCATCTCTTGAAGTTGCACCACCTGAGCACGTTGCGGTTGCTGATCTAAGTTCACCTGCGGATCAATCAGGCAGCTCCAACCGCAAGGCGCAGCCCATCTTCGAGATAGGTGACGCCTAGACATTGCACCGTCGTCGTGACATGAAAGAATTTGACTTGTGCACTTGTGTCCGTTTGTGGTTGCTGGTTGAGCATGGTTTTGCATTGTGACCGTTTCCTTGACAGCTGGATCAGAGCCTCCGGTACATCCCGTCAATTCCCCAACATGGACATGGATGGTGTGACTCAAACGTTGGCCAGAGCCGATGAGCAGCACCCGTGGCTTGAATACTCTGTCTGGCATGATCAGGAATGGGTGCGGATCTACACACCGGGACAACCTCAACTATGGCATCCCGATGATACTATACCCGCCCTGCCTGACAACTCCTTTCGGGAATGGAAACGGGTGAATGATCATGATGACGGAGCTGATGGGGCATGGACAATCCGGGACTGGCAACACCAAGGCTATCAACGCATACTGTCTAAATCGGAGTCTTTCTCTACCCATCATGCTGATGTGCAACACCCAGACTTCATCCAGGTTGAGGAAATGTTCACTTATGCTCCTTCACCCTTCTCTGACAGTGATCGACCGACGGCTTTGCAGCTTCCGCCTGTCTTCTACGGCGGCACAAGACTTGCTCAACTTGGAGATCCTTCGTCCCCGTCTTCTGAGCGGCATCGAGCAGTTTCTCGTTCGCCTCGCCGCGGTGGATATTTTGGTAGACGTTAGGAGTTGAGCAAGTCATCTTCCGTTTGCGAAAAAGAGGATGGTCGCCCCTCCTAGAGGGGCGTGTGTGTGCGGAGTGGCAGAATACCCTGTCACCACCTCTTGTTATTTCCGCAGGGGGGCAATCCCGTGCGCATAGCTGGTTGCCCAACGAAGAGGGCTATGCCACGGCTGATACGGAGTCTGATCAACTCCGCGTACCTGCGTAGCTCGTGTGATTCAAAGTCTTTTTGGCCCGTTGTTCGCTGTGTGTGCTTCTTGTTGCTTTTGTAGCGTTTTCGATTCTACCGGAAAGCCAAGTGACGTGCAAGCCGAAACTTATGCATGAAGAATAACATCGAAGCCGCAATCGAAGCCGAAACTTACTGGTTGTACTCGAAAGGTTAGAATCCTCCTTAAGTGTGTGCGTTGCCGGCTCTATGCTCTTGGCTTGGTGCATGCAACGAGGTTCTTGTTTGCCAGGCCTCAGGCTTTGGCTACTCATTCCGTGAGTTCTTCACTCGGACATTTGAAATCTCTCGCCCAAGAAGAATAATAACACAGGAAGCAAGACTTGCACCCCCCGCATGTGATTTGTTTGGGGGGCATGGGGCGTTTGCACGCAACGAAGTTGAGAGTCCCGCAAGACGCGGCCCGAGCAACGTGGTTTCAAGCTGCTGGGTGCCTCCCTGTTCAGGCGCAGGCTGATCCCAAAGGCGAGGCATCGGCACCAGCGACCCCCGCGCGCTTTGTCCCCGAGGACCCTCGCAGCTTCATTTGTACGTGATGAGAGTTATGGTCCGCAGCGTGTCCGCAGCGTGCAGCTTGAGCCCTTGCGAGGACCAAGATCGGGGCAAATGAGGGCACTCGTCTTCCAACTTCACACGTCGGCGAGCCAGTGGCCTTCCAGATGGATAGATGATCTGGCGGAAGTTGCAAGTAAGTGTTGTGTTCCGGGCTGCAGCTTGCGGGGCCATGTGGAGTTCCCATAGGCATGTATTTTCGTTTGCCATGATTTTGCTTTAAGTGGGCCCTCTGCTTGTACGGCCTGCGTGTTTCACAAGATCATGTTTGGCTGGGAGCCTGAGGGTTCAGCACTTCTGGCGCAACCAGCAAGCGAGAAAAGGCAGAGTGCCCTTAGCTGGCATGCTTCAGCTTGCTCTGTATGTGGTTATGCTAGATTCGCCCGTGCAGTCTATTGGTGCTTTCCTCAAGCTTCTTGAAGTGATGCCATGTGACACATGCATGCCCATGAGGGATTGTAGCCGGAAAGAGCTTCTTACTTTGGCGTGCTGCTACCATGTAGGATGTAGCACGCTTGGAGCAGCATCATCGCCAACAGTGTAAACTGGAAGGTCTTATCAATAGGCCAGCTTCGGACAAGTCAAAGTGGCTGTTGCGGAGGTGCGGGATGAGGATGCGATTGGCTTTTACCGCCTGCGTGGGCGTGCTGGCGTGGGATGGCTTGCCGGAGACGGAGGAGCTGCGGGAGCAGGGCCGAAGGACAGCCAGGCTCCCGAGAGTTGTAGGGTGTGCACGGGCTGAGTACTTCATACTGTTAAACTCGATATGACAGGTGGCTTCCTTGCCGCATTTGTGCTGAGCGCGCCAGCCACCCATGGAGTTGCAGTGGGTCGCTTGACTGAGCATTGCGAGGCCTCCTCACTTCTGTCGGTGTTCAAAGAAGAGATCGAGCAGCTCGGTAGATTCGCAAGATTCAACAAGTAGCTGCAATAGCATTTACATTGCGCTTCCGCGAGCAAACTGAGCGAGTGGCGAGACTGGCCAACCCAAACGTGCAACCACAATCTGTGGCCATTTTCATGTCGCCACGAGGAAGCTGTACTGGGAAGACGAAACCTGGGCTGACAAGTTGACGGACAAGCTCAGCAACACAAGAAGGCTTTGTCACTAAGTTGCATGGGCTTGTAGCAACAATCAACTCCTGAGAGACTCGCGAGCATTGGGAACCAACCGTTTGCCACACATAGGCGAGATGAAAGATTTAGCGATGCTTGGCCACAACGTGTCATGCCATGAGGGTCCTGTCGCATGCACTCCAACTCTTTGCCCATGAGAGCAAAGGAAACTCCTGAGAGCGCAGCGGTTGGATGTCATTGGCTATTCTGACGGTTCAGCAGCTCTTGAAAAGGCGGCATGGTTCTGTGACACATACACATGTACACACACGCACAGAATCTCAAGCGTGTTCATTTGCAGCGCAGGCTGTGGTCGGCTCAGACCCCGTCTTCCTCGACTCCTTGCTGCATTGTAGTCGTCCTCATTTCTTTGGGTTGGCCTGGTGTGATCGATCTCCAAGGTTTGTTTGGCCCCGAGCCAGAGTTTCTGAGGATGCCATCCGGCATGACAACTTCCACTCCAAGTCCTATGCTGTGCAGCGGGCTTGTCTGGCTGCTTTTGACGACATGGAGCTGATTGCAGAAGCCGTGGCGAAGGCCTATGAAGGATCGACCTAGCCGTTGAGCAGTTGCTTGTGTGGTGAGCCTTGTCTTTTTGAAACAGCGCTTGAAAGCCTTCACAGTGGACAGATGCCATATGTGGCCACCCAAGCGGTGACCAAACCCCTACTCCTTCATGTGTGAGGCTTAATTAGTTGAGCGGAGCGAACGGGCATCTTATCCTGCTCTTGCTGCAAGGAGCCAAGAAAAGCCATGCATCTGATGTGCAACGTGGACGAGTGGGCTTATCCATTGCATGCTTCAGAGATGTTTGTCGGTTGGATGCCCGTGGACGCCATGTCAGTGTAAAGCACAACTCTGCCAAATGGAGCTGAGGCAACTCTTGATGACGCTGAACAAAGCTGCGAGGCAGGCATGTCAGATGACGCCCGTGCCCTGCCAGCACCTTGTGGAGAGTCTTCAGATGGCACCGCTTCCGTTCACACGAGGCCTGCCTTGCTGAGCGCGAGCTGCGCTCCCGGCCGTCCCACGAGGAACTGTGAGGCTGCAAGCCTGGGCATGCGAGGCAGCCGCAGAAAAGTGAGTGCAGTTCGGTAGGCAGATCGGGTGTTTTGGCGTAGAACAAAAAGTTCGGAGGCTTGTTGGCTCGTTCCTGCCGGCCCAAGGATTTGCGATCTGTTTGCAAAGACATTTGAGGCCGTGCCCTCAGAGAGGAGCGTCGTGCTCCATGCTTGATTGGGTAGCCGTCCGGTTGCCCTGCCCGGTTTTTTTTGTTACGTACAAGCTCCTGCATGGTCTTCTTCACTAGCACGCGGTCTCATTTCCGTTTCATACCTGAAAAGCTCCTTTTTTGTCATCTCGGGAGTCATGCAAACACCCATTTTCAATAATTCCTTGAAGTGCCGGAGTTACTCTTGAGCTTTCACTGCTTTGCGCAGTTGCGCATGTACATGCACATGCATAGTTGTGTTGTGGTGTTGTTTGTTTTGCAACTTGCCTTAGGGTCGTAGTTCAACCTACTCTCTGGAGCATCACAGAGTTCCTTGCAAACAAGCCACGGCACTCTTGCAGAACTGACTTTGTTGCGTTGCTTGTGATGCAGTGCACGGCGTTGCTTGAGAATGCATAGCCCTCTTGCCTTCGTTGCTTTTGCGGTGCTGCTTGCGTGCCGCGGCTTTTGCGCCGCTGCCTGCGCACCGCTTGCAGAATCTTGGCGCCTACTTGCGTGGAAAGGATTCGCTGCACAGAGCGTGCCCCAGCAGGGGCCACCATTGGCCCTTCAACTTGTTGTCCATCGATGCCACAGATTCCGCAGTTCCTCTATATCCCTATGAGCCCACGTCAAACCGTAGTACGAACCCAGCCGTCCATGATTTCCTCAAACTGCACTTCTCTGTTTCTGATGAGGTAGGTTTTGGCCCAAACCTTGAAGGGGCGAAGGGGAGCTCACAGCAGCGGCCGAAGCGGATGCTTTTGCCGCGCAATCCGTCCATGGCAAGTCGTCAGACGTTTCCCAATGCTATTGCCGCTCACGTGCGTGCAGACTCTGCGAGGGCGGCTTGTAACAGCGCGTCGTAGTGAACAGTTGGGGTTGGGGCGCCACACCACGCCAAAGCGTGCCACAGGCGGGACTGGTTCGAGCACTGCGCTTGGCTTGCTCCTGTAGGCGGTTTTGCGCCACCGTGGCTTGGTGAAGGCGTCCCCTCCCGCACGGTGGTCTGGCAGCAAACTTCCATCATAGTGCGTGTGGCTTGCTTGTTGCCACACACTGTGCTTGACAAGGTCCAGGCTTTCAGCCGCAATTCAAGCAGGGAGGGATATTGCAGAGCGGGGCGGGCTGCCATTTTCCAAGTGCGGTTGAAGCCCCAGCGGGGAAGTTCCTTTGAAAGGCCTGAATACTGAAGTGAACTTGTTGCCAGCCACGAGGCAAGGGGAAGGGTCAAGCTCCGTGATCAGGAACGTCAACTCGTTTTCGCCTTTGCCCCGAAGCCGGTATTCTGGAGGTTCGGGTTCTTGAGCTGGCTCCGTGGACCCCCGTTGGGTCGCCGAGGATGTCGTGGTTGAGGATGTTAAAACCTCGCTTTCGCAAAAAATGGTGGTCGTGCCTGAGGAGCTTGATCAAGTTGTTGTGCTGGCAGTGCTGGTGGTTGTTGAGGTGGTTGACGTGAGAGATGTTGAGGATGGCTGGTCAACTGGAGGATCAACCGGATCAGCTTGAGGGTCATGAGGCCCCGGATTTTGTTCAGGTTTGACCAGGTTCATCGTCTTCTTCTTGGGCTTGTAATCGTTCTGCTCATGGCTTCCTTCACGGTGCTGGTCGACGGCCGCGAAAGAGCCAGTGCGTTAGAGGTAGAGGTTTGCTTTCGGCGTCATCTTCGCACTGGCCGGGTTCAGGATGCTGTGCCCGGTGTCGGTGTTGGCACGGATCAGGGCATGCTTCGCAGTTGCTCGCCTCTTAAGAAGTCGTTTGAAGCGGCCGGTTTGGAGGTGGTTGGGGTTAAGGCTGTGCGAAGTGCTTTCCCAGGACGGATTGCGAAGCTGAGTGTCCTTTCACGTTGGGCAGTGTGTTGATCTGCGGAATCACGCGGTGAGGGCAAGACGCGCAGTGTTTTCGCCGTGGCCATGCCATGAAGAGGAGAGTCATGCTGCGTGGTGGCGAGGGGCTGCGGGCAGCCACATTCCATCTTCGTTCAGTAGGTACCTGGCTTTTTGAGCAAAGACGTCTCCAAATGGCTTTGCGTATAGGGTGCGCCGGCCTGCTCGACGAACCTCAGGAAGGTGTCGTGATGTCAATGACGAAGATCTGCCCCCACCTCATATTAAGGTGAGCCAGTACTTGCGGTTTGCGAAGTTGAAGCGAAGGCCCAGGCTCCATGATTGGGCGTCCCACCAACACAGAAGTGGGGACCTTGGCAACCCAGTTGCTCGCCGACCAAATCAGAGCCCAGGATCAAGCATTGCTACGTCAGGTCGATCGTGACACAGGCCATCATTGCAGAGCCGTCCTTGGCCTTGTGGGGAGTTGACAAGTTGGGAGGGGATGAGGATGTGTGGCTGCGGCCCTTTTCCGCAATTGAGGTGGGCGTCCGTAGGCAGAGTACGCTTCACCGTACCCACCCACAGGCCTTGAGGACCGTCTGCAGAATGTTCCTCGTTGTCCTTTGGCTCGGCGTGCTCAGATTCCCGCGGCTCGTCTTCGTACTGGCATCATCACCGTCGGCCGTCAGAAAGTCGCACGCGGCGCCGGCAGTCATGGTGGTGAATCTTCTTGTCTGTCTGGCGGTGTGCAGATGCGCTGCCAACCTGATGAAGTTGTAGAGGCCCACAAGTCCCAAACCTCCAAGAGAGAAGCGGAGCTTTTACTGCGCAATCCGTAGTCCATGACAGGTCGTCAGACGAATCCCACCGTGTTGAGCGGTAAGGCAACCGGTGAAATGCTATGCTGATGCAGAGAGCGTGGCGCGCGAATCAGAGAAGTAGTTATGCAGTCGACGTTTTGTTTGTTGGCCATGCTTGCCCTACTTCGCCGAGGCGGCGCTTGCAAGCGGCGATCTTAGCTGAAGCTTGAAGGTGGAGGAGGTTGCCGCATCAGCTTGCTTGGTTTGGTCCCGCGCGTGCCCGCGACCGGCCTCAAGGCAATCCTGCAGGTGCCATGTCACGTGAAGAGTTTTTGGCGGCGGTCTCAGGGCTTGGCGCGCTGCGCGTCGCCCAAGAATTGTTCCACGCCGCGCAGGCAGTTCTTCAGAGCAATCAATCGTGCTGGAAGGCCGTCAAGGCGGGGCGCGGGGCGCGTGAGCGCTGGCCGCCACACGCTGCCACCTCACACAACGGGTAAAGTCGGACTCCTGAAAGCCCGTCACCCCGCTACCAGTTTTCTCATAGACTCTTAGCAAGACAGAGTAGTCCGCCCCTTTTTGGACACTTGCATAAAGACACACAGAGGTGGACACACAGACTAAGATACAAACCGCCAGAGGTGGACACAAAGACACACAGACACAGACTAAGACTAAGATACACAAACACAGACACACAAGCACAGACACACAGACACACAGACACACAGACACAGACACAGAAGCACAGACACACAGACACACAGACACACAGACTAAGATACACAAACACAGACACACAGACACACAGACACACAGACTAAGATACACAACCACAGACACACAGACACACAGACACACAGACACACAGACACACAGACACGCAGACACGCAGACACGCAGACACGCAGACACGCAGACACGCAGACACGCAGACACAGACACGCAGACACGCAGACACGCAGACACGCAGACACGCAGACACGCAGACACGCAGACACGCAGACACGCAGACACGCAGACACGCAGACACGCAGACACGCAGACACGCAGACACGCAGACACGCAGACACGCACGCAGACACGCAGACACGCAGACACGCACGCAGACACGCAGACACGCAGACACGCAGACACGCAGACACGCAGACACGCAGACACGCACGCAGACACGCAGACACGCAGACACGCAGACACGCAGACACGCAGACACGCAGACACGCAGACACGCAGACACGCAGACACGCAGACACGCAGACACGCAGACAGACACGCAGACACGCAGACACGCAGACACGCAGACACGCAGACACGCAGACACGCAGACACACAGACACACAGACACGCAGACACACAGACACACAGACACACAGACACACAGACACACAGACACACAGACACACAGACACACACGAGACACGCAGACAGACACACAGACACACAGACACACAGACACACAGACACACAGACACACAGACACACAGACACACAGACACACAGACACACAGACACACAGACACACAGACACACAGACACACAGACACACAGACACACAGACACACAGACACACAGACACACAGACACACAGACACACAGACACACAGACACACAGACACACAGACACACAGACACACAGACACACAGACACACAGACACGCAGACACGCAGACACGCAGACACGCAGACAGACACGCAGACACGCAGACACGCAGACACGCAGACACGCAGACACGCAGACACGCAGACACGCAGACACGCAGACACGCAGACACGCAGACACGCAGACACGCAGACACGCACAGACAGACAGACACAGACACACACGACACACACAGACACACAGCACACACAGACACAGACACGCACACACAGACACACAGACACACAGACACACAGACACACCAGACACAGACACACAGACACCACACACAGACAGACACAGACACACAGACACGACACACGCACGCACGCACGCACGCACACACAAACACCACGCGCCCCTGACACACAGACACACAGACACACAGACACACACACAAACACACACACAAACACACACACAAACACACACAAACAAACAAATTACACCAGCATAGACCCCAGATAGCACACCATGGCTACGAACCATGACGCAGCATCAAAATGGTTCCCGCGGCATGATGATGATGTTGACAGCATCTTGATGATGTTGACAGCATCATGAAAAT